TGAAACATCGAAAGGTTCATATTTTGCAGCTCTGTTTGTGGGTGAATGTCCGAGAAGGATTAAGACCACTGTGAAGAGGAGAGAAAAAAAAGTGGCAAAGTTACATAAAGTTTTGATCTTGCCAAAAAAGTTGTTTTGTTGTTTGTGAAACTTCTTCTCAAAATCTGTCTGATTACAAATTAATTTGTGTAAATTGACAACATTTGTCTCGCAATATTTTTATTTTGGAGAAAATGCCAAATATATATTTTTTTGTAAATGTAGTACTTTGTTCTTGTCATAAGAAGTATTTATATTGCTTCCTAATGTGAAAACTTGTAGTAACAATATTTTTATTTTGTTTTCAATGTGAACCTAATACTCTTTTGTACATTTCATGTGATTATGTAATTGTTGCTAAAATAAAACAATAAGGTGGGGGGGGGGGATGTTGGACTCGTGATACAATGAGGAAAATGTGGTGTAACACTCCCGCGGCAGTTTATCATTCCCAGCAGATGCTCGGCCTCGGCAGTGCAGACACACCAAGTCGCAAATATATACAGTTACATTTCGAAAATACAGAGATACTGTTGAAACTGCACATACTCCCACGGTATTTATGCACGGAAAGAGTTCAGCGCAAACTATGCAACACACACACACACACACACACACACGCAGCACATCAGAGTGGAGTTCATGTAAGCGATAAGAGACACAAGAGTCAACATCCCAGCAGATAACCTGCTGATAGCGTGTTCCCTTGTTTCCGCTGCCCTTTTGTTTACCTAATGATCCCGTGGATCTCCATGCGAGTGGTGCAGGCACACATATGAATTGGGCAACCCTCACTCCGTGTCATTATGCTCATATGGGAGACTTTAAATGACTGAATATGCAATTTAAAATGAAATCTGGATGGGGATAAAGACAGAACCTTGAGGGACTCCACAATCGAATGGATTTTTACCCTCAGCGGTTCCACACCAGTTTGAGATTCACAAACAAGGAGGGCGAACGAGGAATGTGAAACAAGCAAAATTTGAAGGACTCTACGGGAAGGGGGAAAAATCCCCAACCTGGCTTCAACCATGGGAAAAAACACACACTCCAGATACGTGCACACGCTCACCAGCGAAATCCCATTCAGATTGTGAACCACCTGCTGCATTCCACAGCCAACAACTCAGCTACTTAAGGAGCCAGACTTTAATCAGTCTGTCAAAAGGCCAAGCATGAAATCCCACCGTGTGTTTGACCACCTAGACTTTTAGTGCCACCTGAAAACACCATGCAGGTATTTTTAGAAATCCGCTTATATCCAGTTAACCGCTTATCTATCGATAACTTATATAATATGTAAAGACGTGAACGGCAAGAGCAGCAATGATAGTCACAGCCGCATTGTATTTTGCATAAAAATGAATAATCAATCATCAGTCTTTCACTTATGTATAGAAACTAGTTTATCCGCAAAATAGATGTATTAAGGCAGCAAGAATAGCAACCTTTTATGGAGCATGAAATCCTGATACGTCAACATTGCTGACTATTCTTGGTGCGTTTCACATTCACTTATGCAGATATTTATTAATATTAGCCCGACGAGCCGCCACCCACGCTTTCTGAGCAGCCAGGACAGGACAAGAGCAAAAGGAAGAGGTCATGACAAAAGAAGCCCGGGAGTTTTAAAGCCATTTCTACGCCCATCAGAGAGAGTCAGTCGGCACAGCATGGCTGACTGGAGCGCTTCAAAGCAGAGGTAGGAAGAGGAGGGGGGCTAAGTCACTTCCACTGGCCTTACATGTTCAAGGGGAAGTGGGGAGTTTACACGGTGACACGGGGGTCATAGGGCAGGCCCGAAGGAGGAGACACACGGGGGCCATTTGTGTGGACAAATCTGATTAAGTTGGATTTGTTTTGCTCGGATGTGTCAGTTTGTCCAAGCATAGCTAAACGCACCGCTTTACAAAAACTCCAAACACAACCACTTGAAGGCACACATTTCAAGATTTGCTCTTTTATGTCTAGTCAATTGACAAATATTGAACACTAGCCCAGCATGTGTTGTATCTATGCATGGACTACAATGGCCCCAGTTGCCTCTGATAAATTACATTAGATTATGGAGCAGTAATACAACCCGTCTACTCTCCTGTGATATGTATTATTAATTTTGTATTTTACTTTCAATGTTTCACCACACCAATATGTTGCAGAAAACAAATGATTGTTTAAAACAGAAAAATGACAGAAAATTTTAGATCAAAATGATTCAAAATAAGGTGGTGTGACAAACCACATGTACGACTGTCTCAAAAGAAAACATCTATAATGAGAACTGGTTTGAGATAAGAATAGAACCTTGCGGGACTTCACATTAGGACTCAAGTGGCTGCACATTTCCACATTTCATGATTTTTTTTTTCATTCAATCAGACTTTAATTTTCACAATTTTATTGTTTGAAAAAATAAATATGAAGATTTATTCATGACATTGACAAAACTGCAGCGTGCTAAGGACAAAACTATGTGGCACTCCAGACTTACAATATTTTGAAAAATGTTCCTCGACAAAATAGTCCAATATTCTTTTGTGAGTGTAACTAGACTTCATCTTTTTTTATTGCATTAGTCGAAATTTTTCCGTCTCACTTCAATTTTCCCACAGGACGTGCAATTTGAATGCCATTATATTCTATCTTTCCTGATCCATTTTATTTCCCCTCACCATTACTTCATATCACTCACCGCCTCCTCCTCCTCCTCCTCCTTCTCCTCCTCATCCTCTCACCAACACCTGTGCCCCTGCGGAGGAGGAGGAGGAGTTCCGGAGAGGAGGAAGCCCCCGGGGGTAGCGAGGCACCTCACAGATGGTTAGCAAATTACACCTTCATTACCTCTCGTCTACGCTTCCTCTGGTCAGCGCTTCACAATGACTCGCTGTTCCTGTCACATCTGCCAGCATGTTGGCCTACGGCAATTAAAAGTTGTTTGTTGGTTACTAGCTGTACACAGACACGCTGATATAATACAGCAGTATAATTAGACTACAGAACGGAAACACAGTGGCTGTTTAGAATGCTTAAAGGTTCGCGTTTCGATCTTGCTCTCCATTCAAATGTAGAAACAAATGAAACCAAAATAATTATGCAGGGGCTTGTTTATTCACTGCTAATGTCATAACGTTATTGTCCAATGTCAACCTTGGATCATACTTGTATCAATTCAAGCCAATTTCACATATTGAAGATGACCTTATCCGTTGACAACTAGAAAACTAAGTGCATTTTTATGATTTTTCTTGATTGTATTTAAATTAATATCCCTGAAAGAGAGAAATGTATTTCAAACCATAACAAATCTATTAACGCATCCAATACATGCGAGCTGTTTTGCCTTTGGACATACAGCACTTGTGGAAATGAAAACTGAGACTTCACCACTTGGATGTCTTGATGGCTGCTGGAAAAGGAAATTACAATACAAATAGTTTTAATACGATTTAGAAAGTTTATAGTGTGCTTTGTGTGTATATAATGTACCCAGTGAGCATTTCAGGCAAAAATTGTTCACACAAATGATAGATTGGAGCATTAACTATGAATCACATGGTCGACAATATGTCTCACAAAAACGTTGTGAAACTCATCGGAACCGATGCTTTATAAGTGTTTTAGATTCCAGTGTAACTTAACGCATGGTGTCAAAGAACGATGTTGAAGTAAGTTGAGGAGTTTCATTTTGACAAAGTTATTGCTTCGCCGCCGTCCTGGGGCATTTAGAAACTTTTTTTTTTGTGGTTCAACGTTCACATTTCACATGGTTTTCAATGTACTCATTTTCAAACAGGTAGAAAGAGTTACTTGGCCTTTGAATGGCACACTTGCCAGATGAGAAGGCACTGTAGAGAAAATATTTGAAGTTAAGCTTCTAAAAATACAACTTTCCACTACACTTGTCCTTTAAAATGTTTTAAAAAGTCTTACAATGGTGCAAACCATTCCGTTTCCTTTGTTTCAGTATTGTTTTGATGTTGTCCGTACAGTAACAGTAGGCTAACCGCTATTGATCGGCAGTGACCGCGGACCACCTCCCTAAGGCCCTTTACCCTCCTTCCCGTGCCTCTTCCAGCCCAGCGTGAAAGCGCATGCGAGGGCCCCAGCGTAGCCATTAGTCAGGCCGAGAAGGCATGGAATAATAATGAACAGCACTCTCATGCATGAGCAAGCAAACCCCATCACCGCCACCATCAGCTAGTTTCCAGCAGCCATTTCCGTCATCTAAAATGCATGTCCCTCTCACATGAGCGGATCTCGCCGTTCTCTGGCGAGCACTTTCCCCTTTCCCAGCACTGCCGGCTACAGTAGAACTGCCAGGCGGGCGGACGGGGGGGATTCCATCTCCAAATGGTTGGTTTTCTTCCACACTTCCCACCTTTTCAAACAACACTCATTTAAATACAAACTTATTTGTGATTTATTGCTAGCTTCTTGCTATTAAATTAAATATGGGTACTGTACAGCAAAATGATCTTTAAAAAAATTAAAAATTGGTTGGTGAAAATATGCTTCCCATGTCAACACAACAAAAGACAACAACAACAATAGCAAAGGCCATGTTTGTTGATGTATGCATGATATTTCCTACTTTTGCGTCAGTCTTGAACACAGCACAACTTAATTCAACACTTGTCTGCAGAGCACATTAGCAAATAAAAGTAAGAGTGTACTGCAGTTTAGCCTCCAGCCATAATGTTACCCATGTCAGACCACACTTCCTTCCATGTGTATACTCCACCACCACCCCAAAAAAAAAAAAAAAACAGCTCAAGCTCTCAGAGACTATTATTAATGACAAAAAGCAGCAATAATGGGTATGCCAGTGAACTGCACAGCACATTCAAGAGGGCGGAAAATCACAACCACACTTGGCAGCTTAGCACAGGGGACCGTTGTACGTGGCAGGGAAACGGTTCAAACTTGGTGGTAAACAAGCTTAAATGAAGAGAATTTACCTTAACCAAAGTTGACAAACAATCTCCTGGGGGTCAAACAGGCTGGCTTGCTAAATCAGAAGCAGGAAATGGTGGTCACATGACCACAAGATCAGGAAGTGCAAACACTCAGAAACAGGTGTGCTGTTTGGCAGGTGCATTCATTCTCTGAACCGTTTTACCCTCACGAGGGTTGTTGCTATTCCAGCTGTCTGCGGGCAGTAGGCGGGGTACACCCTGAACTGGTTGCCAGTCAATCGCAGGGCCCACAAAGACAAACATTCATGCTCACATTCCCACCTCTGGACAATTTTGAGCGTTTAGTCAACCTACCCAGCATGTTTTTGGAATGTGTAAGGAAACCTGAGTACCCGGAGAAAACCCACCTCGGCATGGGGAGAACATGCAAACTTCACACAGGAAGGTCATGATCGGAATCGAACACATGACCTCTGCGCTGTGAGGCAGACTTGAGGTTAACCAGTCATCCACTGTGTCACCCAGATGCATTCAGGGACCTCGAAAATGAAGAGTTGTGTTTTTTATGGATTTTCACAGTATATTCACTTAAAGTAATTGCACATGGGAAAGGAGATTCATTCCACCACAAACAATATAAAACAATCATACAGACGCAAACAAAGAAGTCTCGCAACTATTTGTAATTGATGCAATCCGATTCTGTAATACTAGTCATTTTTCATCGAGGATAAAGAATATATGCCTGCTAGAATTGGTCCATTATCTGTGCATTTTGTTTGTTCTACTGTTTGCTCAAACTGATCTAAAACCACAACTGTTTGTGTTGATCTGTCAATCAGATTTGCCATTGTAAATTTGTTTTAGGCTTGCAGGTTGTTCTTAAGGCAATGAAGTGCGGTTGTTTCAAATACATTGTGTAACTCTTTGTTTTAGGTTTAATTTCACAGTCAACTTTAACAGGGAGCAGCTTGGCTTTTGTTGATGAGAGTGATGAAACAGCACTTGAATATCAAGTTTGCATTTTGCAACTCAAACGGGAAAATTGGTGAGATGATGGCTCGTACCTTGAAAAACTTGCAAGTCATGTGTCAAGTCACAACTGTACTGTACACAGGATAATTTTTTTAATTGAAGCACAAAAGCATGGCACAATTGTCAAAGAAGTTGTTTGCCATGAATGGAGGAAATAGATGACAATATAGTGTGGCTATTTTGAGAGGCTGCTGACAATGATTGATTGCCTATTCATTGACTGCACCTGTGCATTTGAGCGACAGAGACTCTCCGCACTTTGCTTTCAGTCCTCATATTCCAGGTGTACCCAATGAAAAGTCCAAGTAGGAGGATCGCATAAAGACCACCACCACAATAGCATCAGGGCCACAAGTGATCCACTGCAGCATGAGTGACAATGAAGAGAGAAAAGCAAGAATGAGTCATACGCAAGCCCCTCCTTCAACCCACCTCCACTCATAGACCGCCCCCCCCAACCCCATGTAGCCACGTTACGTCCGTCCTGACTCATTCATTCGCAGCAGAGTATCGCGCCTACTTTTTTGCTTCTCCACGCGGGCGGCCATTCATCTGCAGCTCCATTCACAAAAAAAATTGTTGGTCGTTCATTTAAAAAAAAAATGCTGGTGTTTGGAACATGTATGCATGATGGAATACTTCTTTCTAATTTGGTGGTCTGGTGTGGCGTTCAGTGCCTGCCAAGGCCACCCGCACTGTAAGCCACTGACACACTGTTTTCTATTCCCACTTCCTCCCCGAGCTGCTGCATCTTCATCCCTGTCTTCCTCTCTCTGGTTAGCTCATCTCTAGACAGTCTGCTTCCCAGGCAGCTAATTATAGGCCACAGTTGTAGGGGGGCCGGATTTGACAGGGTGCCTCCGTATGTGTGTGTGTGTGTGCATACATTTGTGTTAAAGTCATTTATGTCACATGGCGGTTCTATTGGTTTCCCTTATTCCACATTTAAATGCTCTCTAAGCCTTTTTTTTTTTTTGCTTATTTTTGTAAAGACTTGCTGTCAAACAATTGTGTTTCGTCACTGACAAGTGTGTGTTTGTGTGTATGTGTGTGTGCCACCAAGTAGGATACACAACCTCAGCACCTCCCTCACTGTACTGCAGCTCTGACTCATACAAGGTGGATGCAGAGACAACTGGGGTCTGGATGATTGGCAATCAGAGTGCACACACACAGGTTTCTATCATAGGATGTGACCGAAACTTATGTACAGTGGAATTGGATTTTTTTTTTTTTTGTTTTGTTTTAACCCCCCCGCAGATAATAATAAAAATATTCTGTCACTAACATAAAACCAGATGTAAAATTATTAGCTGTAATGAGTGTAAAAAGTACTGTCCAAGTTGTAATAGTTGGATGTAGTCGTGCAGATACGCCACCAAATAGGTGAGTGACAGTCATTGATGCAATTTTGTGTCATAGGTTGAACACACAAATACAAAGTGAAAACACTCACAAGGAGGATGGCTAACATGCTCACACCAAACAAACCTTGAGTTAAATGGCCAATTGAAGCTGGAGACAGAACTTTTTTTTGTCATTTGCTAGACCACGCCCCTTAAAGACCCAGTTAACACACAAATACTGTGCGACTTTAAATTTAATTATTTTTGTATTTCTGTACGGCTGTACGAAAGAAGGTCAAACAGTCATTTGGGAATTGGAGTTTACTTTATCACACAATACTTAGGGACCCTTTTTTGTCTCGCATGCCACAGGTGCTCTAGAAGTGAGGAACAAAAGAAAAAAATGAACACAAAAATTCACAAAAATGAAACTAAAATGAAGTATTTTTGAACAAAATAAAAGCTAATAAAAACCACCAAACCACCTCGAAAAACTAATTAAAACGGACTAAAAAAACAAATGTAAAAACAACATAAAAAAAAAGTAAACAATTCAAAAATATTCTCACCATGCCTCATATTCAGGGGATCTGGTTTTGAATCTCTGTTGCACCATCTCTGTGTTGAGTGTGCTTGCCTGTTAGGCCAATGACATCCATCCAAGATTCAAAATGGTCCAAAGGTGTGAACGTGAGTGTCAATGATTGTTTGTCTCCATGTGCCTTTTGACTGACTGGTGACCAGTCCAGGGTGTACATTTTCTCAAGTGGGATTAATGAAGACAAGCTCTTTAGAAAATTGGTGGAAGGAATTTAAGTGTGCATTGAAAAGCTGACTTCCTGTGATGAATAGGTCACCTGTATTGCATCACTGATGAGGATGGTAAAGAAAAAAAAAGAGGAGACAACCTCCTCCTGCTCTTCTTCTTCCTCTTCCCTCCATCATGCTCACTCCCCTCCCCATCCTGACGGGATGAGTCACAGACGGGCCAGTTCCCTTGATGCACTGCAGAAGCGTCATGTGACGTCTCCGCCGCCGCCTCCCGTGCATTCATTCATTCTTTTGCCCAACTTTCATTCATAAAAAAAAAAAGGGCCAATGCTACGAGAAATATATATGAGAGAGTTGAGTGGTTTTTCATTGATAAATGTGTGTCATGGCTTTGCTTTCACCATGGATGCTTTTTCAGGTTTTATAGTTGCCATGGTTACAGCATGCCATTAGACAAAAAGAAAATACAGGCAAGACTCACAGTGGTGCAGTTGGTTACATAATACAGTCACCGGACATTTCATTAGGTACACAGCGAAGACAGGGGTGGGGGGGGGGGGGCGTTTAAAGCAAT